ATGGGGCGCTAGGAGAGATGGATTTCGCTGCCCTGCATGTAGCAGCTCAGCCGTGAGATCCAGCCCCAAACCTTGGTGAATCACCAGTAAGCTCTGAATGGGTTTGTACATGTTTATGCAATGTCCAAATTTAGCTCCGGCTCAGCATCTCAGATACCGGCATTTCCAAGAAGCAGCTGAACAGTTAAAAGTTACCGTCCCGTGTGCTTCTCCTTTAACAGCCCCATTCAGCTTTGCTGCATCTGCCTTGCTCATCGTCCACATGTAGCCACCTCCCACCATTTGGGCAGGGTTTGACTCCCTCCTCCTTTCATTCCTTCCCTTCTCTATTATCTTTGGCCGTGTTCCTTCTGGTAATCATGGCTGGAAACAAGCAGGGTTTCACCTGCAGGTCTGGCAGCGTTGCAAAGTGGTTCCAAGCCACATTTATCCTTACAACAAAGAATGTAATCTCTCCCCTCCTGCTGGCTGAAAATGAACCAAACTCTGGACAGCAGGAACAGACTGAAACACACAGCGCTGCAACACAGAGAGATGGTCCCAGAACACTTGCTCGGATGTGACAGCGTGCACTGCAGCTTGGCAGCCACTACTGCTACCTTTTGTATGCCTCTCATGAGCCAGAATCCCTTTAGACAGATGTGGTGGTTCTTGGTGTGACCGTGCCATCGGGCTGTTAGCCATTGTTAACTATGGCCCGGGTCGCTGTGGTCTTTAGGCACGTTAAGTGCCTTCATGGATCTGAGCCAAAGTCATTTCAAGGCAAAATAAAAATAGGACACCCCTCTCTCTCCCCCCCCCTTCAAGAAAAAAAAAAAAAAAGCTCTGAAGGTTTCTATAAAAATGTGAAGTGAAAATGGCAGAGGAACTTTCTGTAGCGAGTGCAGCTGTAGCTGTTCAGCTATCACTCATTTCTGCTCTGATGTACATAGGATGGATGTGTTTTCCTCGTGTTGCTCGATTTTGTATTTGCAGTAACTGTTATTTACATACAGAATGCTTAATTTACCACCTACACACCCTGGCTCAGCCTGTGCCCCATTATTTCTTGTGGTGTTGTATTCACACAGTGTATCATACGAGGCCACTCTGTGCTCGAGGAGAAGCCCGGTCTCAGAGCACAGGCAGGGAGTCACAGAGCTGGAAGGAGCTGGTTCCCAGCTCACTGGCTGGCGTGTGGAGCGGGGGAGCAGCACTCTCCTTCCTCCCGCATCCAATGTGGACAGCCTTGCCTTGCCTGCCAGCATGAGGTGGTCAACTTGTCTGAAGTGGGTCAATTTAAAAGTACAGCAGCCAGGGTGATGCTTCCAAAGGCCCCGTATGACAGTAAGCACAGCAGAAGCACAGATCTGTCACCAGTCTCGAGGTGCTGAGGGGTCCCTGCCCGAGTCCCTGGTACAGGTTTGCCAGTGTCGCAGCAGAAACTGCTCAGAGCAGCCAGCTGCAAAGAGCCACTGCAGCGTCACTCTGTCAAAGGCCACCTCCACAAAGCCACGCAGGCGCTGGAAGGGCGGCGAGGCTGGTCAAAGCATGAGCAGAGTTAACAGGGTTTAATGGATCACCAAGAGAGAGACCTGCTGGACTGTTCGTATCCCCACATCACAAGCACACAATACTACAGATTAGTTCAAACATCTTCACCAAGCCCCAGAATAGCCTAAGTAAATGAAACTAAAGTCAACACAGGCTTCTTAACATTTATTAATTAATCCATCAGTGCAAGGCTGCTAATTAATGTCACGCTTGGCTGCAGCACAGGAAGAAACCTACCAGCCACGATGAACATTTGACAGCCTTGTAGGTATGAAAAGCGCCAGCTACACAGCCAGGAGGGTACACAGAAAGCACATCCACATGTGGTCCAAATCCTTCATCCTTCATCCTCTTCCTCAGCCAGTAAGATGCTTGTGAGCTGCTCCTCAGAGACAGATAGTTCCTGGCAGGCTCCCATGGCTTGAC